TTTTTTTACTCTCATAGATTTTGTTACCATTGCCATGCATTATACGACTGATAGACTGCAACGGTTAAAGTTAAAAATCATCATATGTATTCTACTGAAGAAACAAAGTCACCTACATCTTGGATGCCCTGGGGGTAAGCAGATAAACATCAAATTTTCATTTTTGGGTGAACTATCCCTTTAAAGAGAACCAGTTCTAAGGAAGAATAATTTGCTTTTTGGGTTAAAAGAATGTCTTTATATGAAATTCGAATGGTAAGTCAATTCGAGATTAGACTGTACAGAAATTGAAATCTACATCTAACGCTAATACACACTACATACACGTAGTCACGCAATGCTGATGTTGTTAACATGAACAATTTGAGAACAAAGTATAACTGTAATAATAATTTGCACGGTTTGATGCGATATGACCTAACCGATCGTTAGATTTAATCACCATTGTAGCACGATTTATTGTAATGCTTTTTTCTCTCAGTTGGTCAAAACAAAAGTGTCAGACTTGTTACTTACTCATTCAGATGATCCAGTGAAAATTCGTATTTTATGTCATACTTCCAAGATATAGGCTAGAATCTGTGATTCTGAAGTACAGTAAATATATCCACACTGGTGCAGTGAGTGACAGCCACACATACTCCTCGAAACATTAGATTCATCGGTGCTGGAGCCATGCCGGTGCAAGACCCACGTTAAAAAAATAACTCCACAAATAACTACAATTGCAGGTTTCAAACAGAGATGGCGACAAAGATGAGAAACTTACGGGCTGCACCTTTAATTAATAGTAATTACTAATAATTTTGAAATATATTTACAACAACAACAACATTTCATCACATTATGTTCAAAAAAGGACCAAATAACAAAGACTCTTCAAAAGTCCTCTGACAATAAGACAGCATATTCTTCTGACCCCTTAAATTCGGGGGCCGCATCAAAGCACAGAGACCACTGAACAAACCTCTATGTATTTGATTCCAACTGTTACAGCAAATATGTACTTTTGGACTTTGTATGGGGCAAATTAGTTGTGTGTCCCTTATGGTAACGTCACTTGGATTCTAGCTGGCCCTTCGAAAGCATTCAGATCTGCTCTGTGTCTTGCCCATCGATATTAAAAAGCAGAACCCTCAGGCCACGAGCGCAGAGCTGCTCGAATGAAGTCAGCGTAGGGTGAGTATGGAAGTCTAGAGATCTGAAGGGGGGTGATCGCTCTGAGCATTGTCCAGCACCAAATACTGTTGTCTAAAGTTTCAAGCCCAATTGTCAGGAACAGACCTAAGAATAGTGTCTGAAATAGCGGGCGACTTTGCCAGAGTTTGCCTCATTGAAGAAATTATTGGCGGGCGTGCTTCAGCACACACCTGCCATTACGTATCCGAAAAACTTGAAACAATTTTAAATAAGTATAAAGAATGGCATTGGTTTTGTATTTAATTTTGGTTTAACGTTATTAATAAAAATGTTGTTCAATTAGCATGTTTTTGTGTTTTGCTTTGGTACCGAAATTGGTACAGAGAACCGTGGATGTTCACTGGTATTGGTACCGAATACTGACATTTTGGTACCGTGACAACACTACTATATAATGTACATTTAGATGCTATTCACATATGATGCATTAAAAAAAAAAAAACAGCAAAACAGAACAAAACAGGGTCTCCTGATGCAGCTTTATGATTATTTTAACATTTAAAAAAAACAGTATATATAGTCCGACATGCAAAAAATAAATAAAATAAAATAAAATAGTTTTCAATTTTAATTTTAATTTTAATACACTTTCTGTATATGATGTTACATGTAAGATGCTTTTCAGATGCATTCAAAAACAAGTACAACAGGGTATCCTGATTGATTTGTATAACTATTTTTAAAATTAGCAGCATGTATGGTGTGACGTGCAAAAACAAATAAATAAAATTAAATAAGAATAAATAAATTACATTTAAAAAATGTTTTAAATTACAGCACTTTTAATCACAGTAACTATTATCTGAAAACTGAAAAACAAAAAAACTCTAGATCAGTTCTGCTCTGGTTGCATGCTACCACCCATAATCAAACACTTTAAATCTTCTCCATCACTGCTGATTTGGTTTAATCTATGCATACTTCTCTAATGAGCTGAAACTGCAGGCTCTCTCCAGGATTTATCAAAATGCAGAGGTCTGACGGCAGGATTATAACCGGTCGTATTGGTTTACAGTACACAATTTACTGATATATACAAACATGCACTCAGCGACACGCAACATGAAGCTTTTGTAACCAGTAAGCTCTGGTCAATTTGTGGATGAACTGAGGCCCGCTGCATTCTGGGAAAACAACCCAAAGACATTGACATTGATTAAAACCTGTCCACAGTTTACCCATCCGGTTAAACATTTACAGAAAATGCTTTTTCAACCCACACGGCTAGGAAGAGGGAGCCGAG